AAGGGGCCAGAGAATTGTGTCGGATTGCACAGGGTGTCCATAACAATATAATAAGTTATAGGATGAAATACATTTAATATAACACATATACCACAATAAATATTTTACACCAAATTTGTCGGAATACTCAAGTGTCGGATTAAGCAAGTTGCACTGTACTAGGGGATTTCATTAGCAAACTTCTTATACATCTATATATTATTACGTGTCAGTTTCAATTTACAGAGTAATTCTACAAACATGTATACTTTTTGGTGGCATATCGAATGAGATACTACGAATAAGAAAACGTAGCGTTTAGTTTCAGATTTTAGAAACGAAAGTAAAAGCATGGTTCTTATCTTTTGGATTGAAAGGTCAGTAAAATTTAATTTATCACGATTGTCTTATAGATAATATCTTATCATTCAATTACTTCAAACAAAGAATAATATACGATATATGGTATTTAAACAAAAATGAACAAAGGAGTAGTTCTTAATGAGCATTTTCCTTCCTTTGTTTCAATGATTTTTTTACTGTGGTACTAAGCAATCCAAATGCAAACAAAAGAGATAAAGAATCAAATTTCAAAGATTCTCTTATGAAATTTTCTCAAAAATGAATTTTTCGGATGATATAAAATTTGTGTTTCAATTTCATTTTTTAGGACTGACACCAAATTTACATATTTAGTTCTCTTTTCTGAAAAATAAATGCATTTATAAATCACAAAGCAAACAATTGTTATAATATGATTAATTATATTATATTCAACATCTTCAATTTTATATCCTATTACAAGATTTTTAAGACAAAAAACATGTTGACCAATATCAGAATACATAAATATTTTGTGTAATTATGTCCAATAGTTTTAAACCCATATGTATTCAAAGAAGAAATGGTTGTAATTATCAGATTTGAAACATAGCTCACAGTTTTAACTATTTACTACTTTCCAACGATACATATTATGGTTGATTGCTAAAATGTTTTGCAATGGTTTCCATCTAAATTTCTCAATCTATTATCTTTTCAAAAAATGAAAAGTAAAAGAAAGATTTTTCTTTATAAAAAAATTAACATTTTCACATGATAAATGGTTTTTCCATGAGAAAAAAACCTACTGGAAGCTCTTTTTTTAGACCTGATTATATTATATCATAAATTTCTTTAAACTTAAGTTTGTCTAGATTGTACTAAAATCCTTGACAAAACATTTTAATGTCTTGTGTTATGTTAATTTTAGTATGTTTTGATATATTACTCTTTAATTTTTCGTTCCAACTTTTGGGTAAGGCTTTTCGAAGAGTTCATAGTTCAGCGATCCAGTTTTGTTTCTTTTTCAGTTTAACTTATACTTTATGAGAAATTTCTCCTTTATCATCAATTACATCATTGACAAAAATTATATTTTCTCTTACCCAACGACAAAAATATAAACTTTTGCCATTAATATTTTTATATATATTTTCAAATATCACTTGTTTTCTTATATCTCTATAATTATCAGGTACTATTGTCTTTCCCCTCCATTTTTAATCCAACATTTTAAAATTTCAAAGTAAAAAGTAGGTTAATTATTTAGGTTTTCTAATGAGAACAATATTCATTTTAAATATCAAACTCCCTGAAATAATAGTTACTTCAGTTAATCTTTTAACCCAATTTATTTTGATAGCCTCAATGTATGCATCCAATATCTGTCCTTTTCAATCCCCCTTCAAACTTTTCTTAACACTGTGCGTTTAACTTTATCACTACCACAAACCAAAAATAATTAAATAAGAATTTTTAAAATTGGTTTATAGTCTCTTTGCTTAGATTCATCAATGAAGCAACATATGTTATATTTGGAATAACTAGTGTTTTGATTATAGTTATCTTTCCAATCATACTCAATTTTCTTTTCTTCCAATCGTTTAGTATTTTTTCTGTTTAGCTTTATTAAGTGTTTCACATTCTCGGTTGTTAAGGCCGAAATAAATGCCACGACTTTTCACTTTATCTTTCCAATTGATACTTTCAAATTTATCTTTGCAATGTCTAAGTTTACCTAGCCATATACCTTCTGTTTTGTTTCTATTGCTTTTAAGTCCAGAGAAAGATCCAAAAGTTTCAATTAAATTTAGTGCATGTCTTATTTCATCTTCTGATCTTAAAAAGAGAGTTGTATCATCTGCTAGTTGTGAGATTTTTAGGCTATGAGTTTTTTATCAATTTTTTTTTGTGTCCCATCCTTTATTCTACAAGCCAGTATTTCGACTCATAAAACAAACAATAAAGCGCTTAAAGGACATCCTTGTCTAATTCCACGTTGAATCCTAAAGGTTTCAGAGATCCACCCGTTATTTAACATGCATTCTTTTATATCATGATGTAGTTTTGACCCACTTTTGAAATGACTCATTAAATCCAGTTTTTGTAATGATTCCAGCATTAAGTCCCATTCTAGTGAGTCGAACGCTTTAAAAAAGTCTATGAATAGTATAGCTCCATCCATATTGAAGTTTTAGCATAATCTATAATATCTTGAATTTGACGTACGTTGAATCCTATATAGCGATTATTTACATAACCATTTTGATCTCTGTGTATGATTAGGGGTCAAAAAAATTTAAGTCTTTGTGCTAAAGTATATGTAATAAGTTTAACATCTGTATTCAACAAAGTGATTGGATGGTAATTATCTAGGGGCAAAGGGTAATTTTTTTTGGAAGATCAATGATATAATCCCAATCTTTTGCGTGTCAGATAGAATTTCTTTATCATAACATACGTTAGACACATTCAATACAATATGCCTTAATTTTGTCGATAGAACTCGACAGTTAAACCATCTTTGTCTCGAGTTTTGTTTAATTTCATATTATAAATAGAAGATGTTAACTCCTCTATGGTTAATTTACTATCCACTTGTTTGCTTTCACAAAGAGTTAAAGAGTGGTCAATGTGGGTATTATCCATATATGTCTTTAACATTTCAGTTTCAGGACATGTGCTTTTGTACAGAGATTTATAATACTTTTTACTTATATCTAAAATTTCACTTTGATCTACAGTTACCTCACCCTTTTTTGTCGTTTATTTGTTACTATATTTTTTAGCTTGTCTATTCTTTTCTAAGGATAAAAAGTACTTAGTATTTTTTTCACCCTCTTCGACTCATTTTATTCTTGATCTAACCTGGGCCACTTTTGCTTTTAAAGAATATATATCCTCTAGTTTTTTTTTAATTTTGTTATTTGATTAAAAAGATTATTTTTTTTTCCATCAGATACATTGTTTAATCTTCCATTTAAAGTTGTCAGTTTGTTTTCCATAACTAAAATGTTGTTTTTCCTTTTCCTTTCTTTAGTTTTAGATTCACAGTATTGGATAGTAGACTCTCTTATGTCAGTTTTGAGCAGATCCCACTGATTTAGGACATACTCAAAATTTTTTTTTTAATAAAGTTTTGCTCATACTTTTCAATTAACTTATTTATTAGTTATATGTACTAGGTATCAGTTAATATACTATTATTCATTTTATATAAAATAACCTTTTCCACGATTGTTTGCATAAATATCTAGTTTAATCGAAATAGCTAGGTGATCTGTGGATGAAATTTGTGCTGGCCTGATGTCAGCAGATACAGTATTCATGAGTACTTGTGTGCTTATTATAAAAAAAAATCTATTCTACTAGCCTCATTTGTGGAATTTTTCCTTTTCCATGTGTAGTGTTTTTTATCTTGATTTAATTGTCTTTAAATGTCTACCAGTTTATGTGTCTTAATTAATTGTTTCAAACTGTTTACTGTCTTTTTAAACTTTTTATATACTTTATTATTTTTTGTGTCTAAAGTTGCGAGTAATTTATTCATATCTCCCCCTACTATAAAAGCAACACACAGTGTGCTCTTCAACTAATCTACTTACTTTTTTATAAGATTGGCTTCTTGGATGAACGTCATTTGGTGCATACAAGCTTAATAAAGTTTCTTATCTTGAATTTCGATATTGATTATGATAATTCTCCCTTCATTATCACAAAATTCATTAATTAATTTAAAATCAAGTGAAGAAACATACTCTACTCGAGTTTGTTGTGCCTAGGCTATGAAGATGTTTGCCCTGGAATTCATTATTAATTTGCTATATCATATCATTCCACAAGTCAGTTTCTTGTGCCATTAAAATGTCACACTTCTGTTGTTGAAACCAAGAGATTAATCTTAAGCGTTTTTCTTTTCTCGCTAGACCTTGTTTTCATTATAATATTAAAGTATTTTAATTGTTATTCTGTTGAACGATCTATTTAAATCTATCAAAGTGTGAAAACCTATAGATTGCAAAAAACAATTATTTCCCCATAGGCGACAATAATAGTCTTTTTCGAGATACAGACTTTAGAAAGTTGATTTTTTTAACGAAACCTTGCTACAATTAAAGAAAATTATTCGGACAGTATTATTTGGTCCACAAAATATAGGTTCCCGTGGCTTTTCTTAACGTAATTTGTACTTATCTCCCTTGCCTATCAATTTTGCACTTAAAACACGTGTCTCATCCTAGCGTAGAAAAGACATCTAAGATCCGTTAGGGCAAAGGAAAATATATTATTTTGCCTTTGGTATAATGCAGAGTGCAAAAAGTCTCTAATTATAATTAAAAAAAAATACGGGTGCACATATCGACCAATCAGGATTAGCCATTCTCTTATTTCGGAATACTATGTTATCTTCATATGATGGCTTCGCCAATAATATTTAATGCAGATTGTAACCTATACTGTCTATCGTGACCCAGATAAACAAAGCTATTTTTAGACCTATAAATAGGATTTGTAAAGTTAATTTCTATTTTAGCCTCATTATTGACTTTCCGAAAACCTCTTGTATTTTGTAAACATAATATACATGCTTTGATAACCATCTCTTGGTATTAAAATTGTCATATGCTATAATTGTAATATCTCGGAAAATTCTTATGTATTTACAACTTTTCTTTTTTTTTTTTCAGATATGACATAAATTTGTTATTAGCAAAATGACTTTACTCGAAATGCGAATTTATTGAACTATGTGTGCAACGGAAGTGTGTGGGATGTAAAATTTCAAGAACTGAATAATGTTTTTGGCTGTTTCTCTGATGTTTAACATATGTATGTGGAAATGTATTAGGGATTCAGCATATATATTTAGATTGGTGATTTCAACTGATGTTTTCCGTTTTTTATAAGCTTGTCTGTTTACATCCTGAAGAAAAGGATATCTGGAGATTGACATTTACTGATATTGCGCCCTTACATTTAATGAGGACTGTCTGTTTTTGCTGGATTTCGTGAATCGCTTTTGACAAAAGAATAAAATACAGAAATGAAAGAAAAACTTCTAGATGACTATGGGAAGTAATTGTGATTTTTTTAACGTGGTTATCTTACTGGTCGTTAGTTCAGTGCTCAAATCAATGAAAAAAATATTATTTGTTTGAGATGCACGTGGAACAATATTTTTTATCCAAGCGGTTTTACAAACTTTAAATTCATAATCTATACATTTTTCATTAGCAAATTTTTTATATATGCAATATTTGAGTCAATATCCCTAATGGTCCTCAAAATGAGGAACTCAAAAGTTGTGTGTAAACAAAAAATCTCTGTGTAGTGATATGTGACACGTTTCTATGATAAATAAGTGACTGAGCTTAACCATTTGTGTTGATTTAGAAAGAAGGGGAACATAGAATAAATGTGTAAAAACTATGGAGCTATTAAATGTGTTCAAAGTATTAAATTTTCAAAGAACTTATTGTGTTAAAAAAGGGATTTTTACCACGAGGAGCCGCATCACGAAAGGATTTTCGGGGTTTGCTAATTTACGGAAAAAGTAATCTCACTTCGTACCCCGAAAATTTAACCACATATGTGAAAATGTCTAAGCTTCGAAACGAGCCATCATACATATCCAAGTTAACAATATGGACTGAGCAACTGAACAAAAGATTACCATTACCGCCTATGGAGAAACATTTGAGAACATTGACCCAATTTACAACGAGATATTCAGCAGCTCTCAGACAGATTTATGAATAATTGCACCTTGTACACCAGAGAAAATTGTGAAAATGAAGGTGAGTTGTCTTTTATATATACATAGTTATCACAGCTGGTTCTAGATAAACATTATCTATAAAGATCGGCCACTATTTCGCTTTTGAAATGCATTACTGGCACGCGGCTGAAGGCTTCTTTTAGGCACAATCAAATCTCTGTTTTCCCGAGAGATCCGAAAGGCACTTGTTATGACTGGAAAAAGGCATGAACGAACTTACAATATTATTAAATTGTAATTAAACATGACACAATAAAGTTATGTTTTGTAATTATCATTCTAGTCTACAGGAACTACTGATAATATAGGAAAATAACACACTTCATACGAGTAAAATTAGATACATCAGTCATTATTACATTTCGTACATGTGCGTGAAACCAATAATTTGACCCCTGGTCATTATAGATTATATGCGAATAAACAGACAAACATGTCATAAGAAAATCATGAACTATTCTATTTTAATGCACACAAGCAAATCACAAGATATTGTCTTTTTCTCAGTGAAAAAGGGGGAGGGTCAAACTTTTTGAAAACATAGTGCTGCACCTATTCAACTATTATAATTAAGATACTACTCATTGCTCCTCATATAAAAGGTTTAAATGAAGGTTAATAAGCCACAAGGAAGAAGCATCTCTCTTTTTTTGTGATAAAACTTTTAAGAATTAGATTTTTTCTCTCTCAATAATACTTATGTATTTATATCAAATGATAACACAGCCTGAGTAATTTTTTTGTCTTATTTCAGTGTCAGACATATCATTACTATTTAACCTGAGACGGCAAACTAGAGGTTTTAAAAAGTTCTGAATAACTGGTAAGCATTTTTTTTTATTAGGCAAGCTATAAATTGTTTATTTATGGTATTTATGCAATTGAAATTACAGTCAGTATGTTGAAAATATGCTGATATGAAAACTGTTGCTATGGTCTTGATATTATATAAAAATGCTTACTTACTGATCTTTTCGACTCGACATTTCGAGTTAAACCTTGAGGCAACTGTTCTTCATGTAGCACTGCAAACTGTAATTAGCATTATTTTGATACGTCGTTATTTAATGATGTCATAATGCGTGTGATGTCACAATGTTTCCTTTAAAACCTCATGTGCATTTCTCACTGATAAAGGGTTTTCACTGAAATACATCTAAAAAACCTTTTTTTTTAAATAGAATTATGTGAATGGACAAGTTTTGAAAATTTGTACTTCATTGCACTCTAATTATATGATAAAAATGACATTCACGGTAGTTTAGAGTGGATTCTATAGTTGAAAATACCAGATTTCCACTGGTAAAAATATTTAAGTATTTTGATGTCTTTTTTTATGAAATCTACATTTTTGCATAATTTCACAGTCAAAATGCACTTTTAGGCACCAGAAAATTTTATTGAATGCTTTAACAAGGTCTGTGTATTGTAATTTAAGGTTATCATCAGATGTTTTGTCCATATTATGACTAGTGAAGGTATATTGGAAAAAAAATAATTATACGTACACGTTGTATTTAAAATAAATAAATATAGCGATAAAAGGGTCATTGCCTTATAGTGCTGAAACAACTTAATTTTTTTTCAGAAATGGACAATAATACACAGATTTATTCAGAAAGTCATACCGATGAAGATCACACAAGAATATTTGGAAAAATTAGAACTATGGATTTCAATATGGGTCAATATCCCTAATGCGCCTCAAAATTAGGAACTCAAAAGTTGTGTGTAAACAAAAATCTCTGTGTAGTGATATTTGATACGTTTCTATAATAAATAAGTGACTGAGCTTAACCATTTGTGTTGATTTAGAAAGAAGGGGAACATAGAATAAATGTGTAAAAACAATGGAGCTATTAAATGTGTTCAAAGTATTAAATTTTAAAAGAACTTATTGTGTTAAAAAGGGATTTTTTACCACGAGGAGCCGCATCACGAAAGGATTTTCGGGGTTTGCTAATTTACGGAAAAATTAATCTCACTTCGTACCCCGAAAATTTAACCACATATGTGAAAATGTCTAAGCTTCGAAACGAGCCATCATACATATCCCCAAGTTAACGATATGGACTGAGCAACTGAAGAAAACGCAACCATTACCGCCTATCAAAGAAACATTTGAGAACATTGACCCATTTACTACATTTTTAAATAAACAAATATGTAGATAATTCTCTTTTGAATGTATGCTATCTACAATATAGACATCACATTCGCAAATTATGATTTTGTTCACCTGATAAACACAGTCTATGTTTATGATACAAAGTAAACAAAGATATATATACAATATATACAATATTAAAAATATGAAGATTTATAATTGGTAGTAATTTCCTTGAGCTTAAGATTTTGTTTATTTCACAGGCCTATCAGTAGGAGTACTTGCAGTTTATTACGTGTTGTTTGCTCTTTATTGGTTTTATGCGAGGGAGTTCTAAAGGCTTCTGCTAAGAAACGTTCCATGCTCGGCTGATCATTATATATATTGTTTGTCTTTTTTATGTTTTGCCCGTTTAGCTCTTTTGACATGTCTTTTTGCTTTTTACTCACTTTGATTTGATTGATCATCATGATTGTTCACGACATGTTTGTCTACATCATTACGTGACTGCTTATTGAACGTGAAGCTAAGTGTTTATGTTTGATTTTCTGCATCAGATGCTTGGTTTGCTTATAGCTTTTCATTTTGACTGCTTTCCGGATGGGAAGAAATGTCTGACTCCGACTCAGATTCTGATTGGCTATCTTCACTAGAAGAATCAGAGTCTGCGTTGCAGTATTTTTCCGTATGACCAGATTTCCCACAAGTCTGACATACCCTATCGTTCGGACAAGTAGTGCAATAGCTTGCTTTATGACTACTGCCGCCAAATGCTCTACACACGCAGTCGTTTGGACACTGAAATTATTTATGCCCATCTTGTAGACATTTATTGCATTAGATGTTTGTACTATTATCTACTTTACCCCGATGGAGAACTACAGCTATATAATTACCAATAGTTTAAGTTCTTGGCAAAGGATCGAGTATTTGGTCACATATCACAATGCGGTCACCAGTCTGACAATTTGACAAACGTTCGTCAACTCTTAACCTTTCACGGAATAACGTATGTACAACACAATTACACTCCTCAAGAGCTCTCTGAATTTTACCGACGTCCGCTGAGCAGGGTATATTTTTCACTCTTGCTCGAACATTAGAAGCAACCATGTGATTTCTTGCATATGTTTGTATTAGCTTTTACGAATAACAATACCATTTGTTAGTGTTTTATTTCGGTCTTCATGATTGTCAAAATATGATCTCCATAAACCTCTTACTTTTTGTAAGCCTTTTAAATGGCTTGGGTTCACAAGATTACCATCAGCTTTGTATAGCTCGACATTAGGTATTGGTCTTGTGAGGGCTTACTAGTCCCAAATAAATCTTGTTCCAAGATGAAGATTGAGATTGGTCTCCGAAGAAGCTATTTCAGCATAAGACTTAGACGAACTTTTTGGATCTGTCTTTGAATCCGCCATATTGAAAATCAAAACAACTTCAAAAGTTTCAATCTCTCAATAATTTACATCAATGTATAGTCAATCACCACTAAAACTTTATCTACGAAAGGCATATTGTCTATTCAGATCACAATACTCAAAAACGTTTGGAAACACTTCATTAAATACCAAAATCTAATTTTTTTTCGGAGAGCCCTGCCTACCGTAGTTATGGCATTGGCGCATTCAACGAACAATTCCTGTTTGTTCATAAGAAACGAACCAAGATTACCATCAGCTTTGTATAGCTCGACATTAGGTATTGGTCTTGTGAGGGCTTACTAGTCCCAAATAAATCTTGTTCCAAGATGAAGATTGAGATTGGTCTCCGAAGAAGCTATTTCAGCATAAGACTTAGACGAACTTTTTGGATCTGTCTTTGAATCCGCCATATTGAAAATCAAAACAACTTCAAAAGTTTCAATCTCTCAATAATTTACATCAATGTATAGTCAATCACCACTAAAACTTTATCTACGAAAGGCATATTGTCTATTCAGATCACAATACTCAAAAACGTTTGGAAACACTTCATTAAATACCAAAATCTAATTTTTTTTCGGAGAGCCCTGCCTACCGTAGTTATGGCATGGGCGCATTCAACGAACAATTCCTGTTTGTTCATAAGAAACGAACCAATGCCCCCCTCCCCCCCCCCCCCCCCCCAAAAATGAATTTAATTAGATTGAAATATAACGCACTCTCATAACAAATGAGTGGTATGTGTGTTATCTTGAATTCAGGAATACGGTTCTGCAACCAAACATGGGTTTTCATCAAATAAAGTGGTTAGTAGAGAGATTCCAGTTTCACATTCATCAAACTATAATGTATTATTCTAACTAATTTAGTCTAAACGCTGAGTCAGTCAGTAATTTGAATTTTTGCTTTCCAGTAAATAAATTTATTCAATAATTAATCATATCTAGATATTGAATTATGCAATCAAACAAGTATATTAGCGGGAACGTTAGTATGCCAATGAATGATAGTGTACCCGACCTGTTTAAATGTATTTATGTTTCGGAGGGATACACACTTTTTTAAGCGGTCCTCAATCATTCAGGAGAAAAAGGTGAAAAAAATAATATCAATTTAGAATTTAGAAAAAAAAATACCACACTGAAATTTAAAAATACTGTTCCTGTATGTTCATTAGAAACGAACCAATGCTGAGTCAGTCAGTAGAACGTTGGACCAAGTAATTTGAATTCTAGCTTTCCAGTAAATAAATTTATTCAATAAATAATTACATCTAGATATTTTAAATCACTTTTAAGTCCGAAAAAAGTTATTACTTGCACATTCATTACTACTTTTGAAGCGAGTGAAATTGTATTTTAATGTTTAAAGAACATGCGGTATGATGAATAATTTTATTATCGATTGTCGGTAAAGTATGTCAGAATATTTAATGTTAATCAATACATCTGTAGTAGTTTTTTCGAGTTACTTCTTTTCGGGCGTTGAGAAACCTCGTACTTTTAAACGTCCCTTGTAAAAACAACGTGTTAAGTAGGCGTAACAGTAACTTTTATATATATAAATGTAAATCAATTAGTTATTCAAGACATTTACATCAAAACTATTTGAATTGATAATTCTTTTGTTATAAAAAAATGACAGTGAATTTCAAGCCAGAAAAAATCTCTTTATTGAAAAACTATTAATTAGAGGATATAAACTGAAATTGGTAGAACACATTCTATCAAAAATCAAATTCCAAGACAGACAAGATAAATTAAAGAAAAAGAACAAATTTGAAAATAGATATAATATATCATTCATTACAAATTATCATCCTCAAGCAGAAAAACTTCAAAAAGTATTCAGGAAATACTGGCATCTGATTAAACACAGATTCTACAATAGGTGCCAAATTCCATAAAAACCTATCAATAGGATTCAAAAGAAACAGAAACATTGGTGAATTAGTGAGATATAATTCGCATCTAGATGGGTGGATATTGGATCAATTTCTATGAAATTATGTCTAGGCCAGAGACATGATTCGCACCTAATTGGGTGGATATCGGATCAATTTCTATGAAAAAATTTTCAATAGTAACTTTTATATATATAAATGTAAATCAATCAATTACTCAAGACATTTACATCAAAACTATTTGAATTGATAATTCTTTTGTTATAAAAAGATGCAAAAGTAATCACATCAACCCGCTTTACTCATAATATCAGCTAAAGAAACATTGTACAGTTTAGCTTTAGACGTAGCTGCAGATCTCACTAAATGAGCAATAAATTGTCGAGTGTCTATACCCGATGTTTGCAAAACTACTTTAATCCAACGGGAAATAGTGCTGCATATCACTGCTTTGTGCGGCTTAAAGTTACTAATAAGTTACTGATTTGTGTTAACACTCAAAAGTTCAGTACGTTTTATATATTCTTTTAAAAAAGTATATACACACAACCTCCTGTCTGGAGGCAAAGCTTTCTGTTTGATATCTGGATTCTTATATCCTGGTCTAGACTGTTTTAATAAAACATCTAAATGAAAAACAGATTCATCCCTCAATTTGTCCATACAGTCAACACTTAAAAACTTCAGTGTTTGTACACGAGTAGCATTTGTTAATGCTATCAACATAACGAGCTTCAAAGTCACTTCTTGTAAAGTTAACATATATACAGGTGAAAGTTTTCTCAAGTAATTCAAAACTAATGATACATCCCATACACAAATGTTCTTAGTTTTTGTTGGTCTAAGATTATAAACTCCTTTCATAAATCTGACTACTAGAGGATGTGCTCCTACAAGGACATTATCTATAACTAAACCAAGTGCAGAAAGAGCAGATCTTGCTGTATTTATGGAACTGTAGCCAAGACCATTTTCAAATAAAATATTCAACAAATCTAGCACTATATTTATAGAAATTTGAACTTTACTAATTTTCCTTTCACGACAGTAAGAAAACCAAATTTTTGACAAATACTTTGTACTGTTTTTTAGTGCTTTTTTCTCCAAGAGCATAATATGATGCTCGCAGTTTTTGTTGAAATTCTTCTGTCAATAAACTGTTTCCTGATACAGAAAATATCATTAAATTCATTGTTGTGTTTAATGGATGGACAGTGTCCTTGTAAGAAAGAGTCAGTAGATTTTTCCTTGCCAAAATCAGTATGGGTGTATCGATCAACATCTGCATCACCAGAGTAAACCATGCTTGATTTGGCCATAACGGCGCTACTAAAATCACTGTTGTCTTGTCTTTCAAGATCTTCTGTACACATCTGCCGAATGAACTGAAAGGAGGAAATAAATAACATTTAAAATCACTCCAGTCTTTGGAAAAAGCATCTATAAAACTAGCATCAGGATTAGATTTCCATGAACAAAACCTCTTTAATTGTGTGTTGAGGCGAGATGCAAATAAATCAATTTGGGATTCACTCCACAGTTCACATATATCACAAAAAAATCTCTTTGTTTAACTGCCATTTGACTTGATCATTGAACTTTCTAGATTCAGCATCTGCAATAGTATAACTTCATTTCCAGCAATGTGGCTAGCAGTGAGCCAAACGTTTTGTTTCTTAGACCAAAACCACATAGATTTTGCAACATAGTTACAACATATTGACTTAATTCCACTCATTTTATTGACATAGCTTACTGCTGTAGTATTGTCAGTTAATATTTTCACATGTGTAAAACATTTAAATTGAAATTCAAATGATTGCAAACCATACAAAATTGCAAGTAATTCTAAATAATTTATATGATATTTTTGTTCATCAGGGGTCAAT